ACGTAGTGGAGTTTTCTGCTTTCTTAAATATGGGGATACTACAGAAGTGGTAGAGCTTTCTACTGAGAAAACTTTCATTAGCCATGCTGGGCTCTTCAGTTTCTGTTGTGGAAATACTGCAGCAGTTTTATGAAGACCTTCTCCAAATCAGCAGACTTCGTGATAACAAACCTGTATCAGTGACAGCAGGTGCCTTGACTGGCATTAACCTTGCTGTGGAGCATGGCAACATGGCAGAGAGACCTGTTGGTTTTCTAGAGTATTTCCTATGCTACTGCAGTGACAGTAGTGAAATGTCAGGAAGTAGTGAAATTTAGGGAGGAATAACCCCAGGCAACAGTGCAGGTTAGGGGTTGACCTGCTGGGAAGCAGTGCTGCAGAGAAGGACCTGGGAGTCCTGGTGGACAACAAGTTAACCATGAGCCAGCAGTGTGCCCTTGTGGCCAGGAAGGCCAGTGGTATCCTGGGGCGCATTAAGAAGGATGTGGCCTCACCAGGGCAGAGTAGAGCAGGAGGATAACCTCCCTTGACCTGCTGGCCACGGTCTTCTTAATGCGCCCCAGGATACCACTGGAGTACTGTGTCCAGTTCTGGGCTCCCCAGTTCAAGAAAGACAGGGAACTACTGGAGAGAGTCCAGCGGCGGGCTACAGAGATGATGAGGGGACTGGAGCATCTCTCTCATGAGGAAAGGCTGTGAGAGCTGGGTCTGTTTAGCCTGGAGAAGACTGAGAGGGGATCTCATCAACGCTTATAAATATCTAAAGGGTGGATGTCCAGAGGAAAGGGCCAGACTCTTCTCAGTGGTGCCCAGTGACAGGACAAGAGGCAATGGGCACGAGCAGGAACACAGGAAGTTCCATCTCAGTATAAGGAAAATCTTCACTTTGAAGGTGACAGAGCACTGGAACAGGCTGCCCAGAGAGGTTGTGGAGTCTCCTTCTCTGGAGATATTCAAAACCTGCTTGGACACGATGCTGTGCAACATGCTGTAGGTGATCCTGCTTTAGCAGAGGGGGTTGACTAGATGATCTCCAGAGGTTCTTTCCAACCCCTACTATTCTATGATTCTGTGATTCTATCAGGTGAGTCCCCGGAAGAGGTGAGTAGGGACCAGCTTCTGCCCTTAGCAATGATGTTTTCTCCGTGCCACCATTTATCAATTCAGTGGAGTCTTTTGTGTGCGAGAAGGCTCTTCTTTGCTCTGTTGCTTTCTTCCAGCTGCTGTAGACCTGCTTTTGCTATGGTGATTGTGTGACCGGCCAATTCACACTGAGTAGACAGAAGGTCAGATGTGGGAATGTCTGAAAACTTTGTAGTCATCTAGTTAACTTAAATTTTGAAAAAGACATTGCTGTCCAAAACTTGAAGATTTTTCTTGCTCATAGTTACGCTGTATGGGAAATTCCTCAGGTAATCTGGCATCCGTGAGTTCTCAATGAGAAGCTGGAGAAAATCCCATTCTGCAGTCCTTCCATTGACCAACCAGGGAAAAGGGGGAAAAAAATCTGTTGAAAATCACCTTTACGGTAGCCTCTAGATATCCAGTACATGATCATAATCAAACAATTGTGAACACATTCTGTGGAATACACAGGCTGTGGGTTTTTTTTCTGTATTTCAACCACTTATTTTATTAATTGACTTTTTTTATCCACATAAGAGGCTGTAAACTTCTGTTGTGGTTTAGCCCTGACTGGCAGCTGAGCCCCACACAGCTGCTCGCGCAACCCCCCGCCTTGATGGGATGGGGGAGAGAATTGGAAGAGTGAAAGTGAGAAAACTTGTGGGTTGAGATAAAATACAGTTTAATAGGACAAACACAAAAAGGAGAGTAATAATAATAATAAATGCAAAACATGTGATGAACAGCACAATTTCTCACCACCCAAACTTGATGCTCTGCAAGACCCCCAGCTGCCCAGCCTCTCAGCTCACCTCCAGTTATAAATGGAACATGACATCATATGGTATGGAATATCCCTGTGGCCAGTTTGGGTCAGCTGCCCTGGCCATGTCCCCTCCCAGCTTCTTGGGCGCCCCTTGCCTTCTTGTTGGCAGGGCAGTATGAGAAGCTGAAGAGTCCTTGACTGCTTGGCAACAACTAAAACATCAGTGTGTTATCAACATTATTCTCATCCTCAATCCCAAACACAGCACTGCACCAGCTGCCAGAAAAAAAATCAACTCTCTCCCTGCCGAAACCAGGACAACTTCTCAGGAGGCTAGAGATCATATGTTTTTGCATCCAAACCCCAAAACACGTTCCAAGACTAATTAAGGAAACACTTTTCTTTTTTAGTCAGTTAACTATGCCAGTATGGATGAACAAGTGTAAAGTCTTTATTCTAAAGTGGAGATTTCTAGACTTGTCTGTATAGTCACTTTCTCGGTTGTCAGCTATAATTATACCTGCGACTGTTAGAACATTTACACTCTGAAACACAGGGGGAGCATAAGTGGATTTTTGGCATGTTCTTTCTTCCTGTCTCCTGGCAGTGGTGGAAAGGAATGTGTACCAAAATAGATGAATACAGGAAATGCATAAGTGAGAACTGTTCATATTGGTATCTTGCTGCACATGTGACTTGTGATGATTTGCCTTTAATGGTTTCAGTTTAACTGACTTCTTGGAGATAAATTGCATGAGGATGCTATAATTGCAAACTATACTTTCAGATCCTAAATATGATGAAAGAATGACTGACAACGAGGGAGAGCTTTGCAGAGATGGTTGGTGTGGCATGGTGTGGCATAGTGTGACTTGAATCAAAGTCCGGGAGAGTGGGTGGGAGAACTCTCTGAAATGGCAGATTTTGTTTCAAAGCAGATAAGTTATCATTCACTTTTGCTCTTGGCCAGCGACGCTATACTCAATAACACACAGTAAAAAAACATGGAGAAAAATTAGTCATTGGGAGCCAATAAAATTCATGCTTCTCAAAGACATCTCAAAACCTGCATGTTCTTAGTGGGCTTTTCAGAGACCTGAGACAACTAGTAAGAATATAGGTGTCACATGTGTAGAAGGAACTTCCAAAGAGTCCCAAAGTGCCTCTCTTATGTCTGTTCTCTCCAATTTGCTAGTTTGTCTTTAACGACTGAACAAGTCCATATTTTGAAATGAAATAGGCTTTTTTGTTGTTATTTGTTTTGCTTTAAGAGAACGTTTTCAGGAATGTGCCTTGATTGCAGTTTATAGTCTAGTCCCTCAAGGAAGGACATTGCAGAAGATTCTCCTTGCAACCGTGCCGCTTCTGGCATTATAATCAGAGGCAGAGAATGAGATAAAGGATGTGGCATCTTCTGGGGAATGGCTCAGGAATATTCTCTTGTACTCTTTGTGCCCATCTTTTCTGGGTAAATAAGTCTTAAGAGCTGCCTTAATCTTGAATTTACTGAAGGTAACCTTGAAAATTTTGTTTGGTTATAGCCTTTTAACAAAAACTTGTTGGGAAGGGGTAAAGCCACTAGCATGGCAAAGATCTGTTGTGGTAAAGCATTTGATTTGTGTATTGTTGCTGTAGGACAGGTGATGATGGGTAGTGTGTCTATTACTGAGAGTCTGAGTAAAAGTGAACGTAGCAGCATAAAACCTATCATCCCACTGCAAATTATGTTGTATTATTTGTGCTAGCAGTGACAAGAACGGGATTAAAAGCAATGCAACGGAGTGTGGTTTGTTTTTTTTCCCCTGCTTATCAGATAGAAATTTGAAGTCCCAAGGCAAAAAACCCCTGGATCAGGGCAGCCTCTCTTCACAAGGCTTGGTGTACCTCTTCTGCAAGTCCTGGAGCTCTGGCTGAGACTGGGGAACTGCGAGGAGCTGTTTGCTCTGTTTTGCACGGGGTGAGGCAGCACTTGGCTGGGGAGGACCCTGAAGAAGCCTGCTTGTGTTTGCAGGCAGCACTACAGAGGTTAAAAGGCAGCCTGCCAGCCCTTCCAGAGCAGTATTTTTTGGTGAAGTGGAGGAAGTAGGAAGTCAGAAATACAGAGGAGAAATATTTGTAATACTTGACTAAGCAGCTAAAAACTGCATAATTAGAAACTCTTAAGATGGAGTAGAAACTCCAACTGAAAATTTCCTGTCCTTTCTGTGCCTCCCAGCTGCAACTGAGCAGCCAGAAATGGGAGTAGTTTGTAGTCTGTGGTACTTCAGCAAGGGAGGGGAAGATGTCATTGGTCCATAAATGAACATTTTTTTGTAGAACATTGTTGTGTAGAAGCTGATATTGTTGCAGGGAGAGAATTGAAATAAACTGTTCTTTGCCCAAGGATATAGCAAAGGCTGCTACTTTGCTGATAAAACACCAAGTGGCATTTGTTTTTTTAACCTGTCTGTGTTGCAGAACTCATTCCTTTGTGAAATTTAGCTATCCAGTGGGTCAGTGATGGTAGTATAGCCTGCATTTGCCTCAGCAATGTAATGAAGGCCCTCCTTTCTGCACTAGGATCATCAGCTGTTTGTCTTGCTTTTCAAAGTCCTCTGCTTCCTCTTCCTCTCCCTAGCTGTTGTCTCTTGCTCAGTCCCAAAGATCAATTCCTGCCTCTCCCTGTGATCACAAAGCCAGGCTGTATTGCCTCCTTGTTTTTCAAACAAGCGTCTCTGTGTGTTCTCTCCATGTTGCCTCTCAGGCTTCAAAGCAACCCTCCAGAAACATCCACAAAGCTTTCTCCTTCCTTCTTAAAGCCTTTGCAACTGTATCCGCAAACCCTTGCGGAGGGCTAATGCTTCAGAGGTGCTCTGGCTTTGAATGTTAAGCAAACTGTAATGTCATTTTGTTTCCTTATTCCTTCATTTCCATATCTCCTTTCACGTACTTAACTTTTTTTTGGCAAAGACTACTTTTTGCCCTGACCCAGAGCGAGTGCTTGTGGGGCCCTTCAATAATACAGATCATGAGTAAGAGCTCCCATGCGTATTTGGCGCGGCATTTAAAGAAGTATTGTAATAACCAGCCCATTAAGTTACTAATGTATCTGTTTTATCATCTTCCACAGAAGCCCCTTGTGCTACTCCACTGATCTGTAGCTTTGGAAGGCCGGTGGACCTTGAGAAGGATGACTACCAGAAGGTTATATGCAACAACGAGCATTGTCCGTACAGCACCTGGATGCACCTTCAGTGCTTCTACGAGTGGGAAAGCAGCATTCTCGTCCAGTTCAACTGCATTGGCAGAGCCAGGAGCTGGAACGAAAAGCAGTGTCGCCAGAACATGTGGACGAAGAAGGGATATGACCTGGCTTTTCGCTTTTGCTCCTGTCGGTGTGGGCAGGGTCACCTGAAGAAGGACACTGACTGGTACCAGGTGAAGCGAATGCAGGATGATAAGAAGAAGAAATCAGTGTTGGAGAAGAGCACGGGAAGATCGATGGCAGAGTCAGCAGAGGAGGCCAAAAAGGGCAGGCCGGCCAACAAGCCGCAGAAAGGCTTGAGTCATGACCTCCAGCGAAGGCATTCGATGGACAGGCAGAACTCCCAGGAGAAGGGCGTCATGGGTGGCAGCTACGCTGTTCGTTCGCCTTGCGTCTCTCCTGGCCAGTCCCCGCCCACCGGCTACTCTATTCTTGCCCCCACGCATTTCAGCGGCCCTCGTTCCTCACGATACTTAGGAGAGTTTTTGAAGAATGCCATTCACCTGGAGCCCCATAAGAAGAACATGGCTGGTGGGGGCATGTTCAGGAATGCACATTTTGATTACGGGGCAGCTGGTTTGCAAGCACATAGATCAGGACACTTCGATGCCCCTGTGCAGTTTTTGAGAAGGCTCGATCTGTCTGAGCTGCTTACTCACATCCCCAGGCATAAATTGAATACTTTCCATGTGCGGATGGAAGACGATGCCCAGGTGGGCCAAGGGGAGGACCTTCGGAAGTTTATCCTTGCTGCTCTTAGTGCCAGCCACAGGAACGTTGTAAACTGTGCGCTATGCCACAGGGCGCTGCCAGTGTTTGAACAGTTTCCGCTGGTGGATGGGACCCTGTTCCTTAGCCCATCGAGACATGATGAGATTGAATATGATGTTCCCTGTCACCTTCAAGGTACAGGTTGTCTGTCAGTCATCCTAGGCTTCATTAAATGATGGAACTGCCTTCTGTGCCCTGACCCCCCATTTTAGATTTTTCATCCCAATTCTGCATTTTTAAGTAGTTCTGTAAAGCTTGAAGTCATGTCCAAATTATCACGTGGATCAAATTGAAACACTTAGGAGGGGATTACAAGGAACAAATGCCGTGTAGAAAGATCTGTGCCTTGTGTTTGGGTTTACAGCTAAGAGATTTCTCATCCAGTTTCTAGGTAGACCACGGGAAGGTTTTCCAGCCACTCTGTTCTGCAGCGTGTGCATGCTGATTTATCTGTTGTGAGCTTTACTACAAGATATACATCAACATTTTAAACAACTTTTTAAATTTAAGCATGCTGTGCTGTAGCATGGGTGAAAGTTATATTTGTACCACCAGTGAGATGAGATGCCTCTCACCTGCTTTCAGACTAGAGAATATCAGTTTTGTTTTATAGCAAACTTTTTTTTTAACCTGTAAAGGACTATAGTCTGGCCTATGTTAACACTGGTCTGGAGAGGTTGGACATAGCAAAAGTAAGTGCTTAATATGGTGAATTGAAGCAGCAATGTTGTAGTAGGGGATTTAGACTTATTTCCAAACTCCCACCTGTTTGGGCTGCATCCTGATCACATCCCAGCTCCGAGCTGAGTTGAGACCAAGGCATGTATTGCTTTCCTCCTCCTAGAGGAACAGACGGACGAGGGCTAGGATGAGCTTCAGCTTTTCCTGAAAGCTGTGTCCCAAAGCAAGTGATCAGGGGGGTACACAGCAAAACATGCCTGTCCTGCAGCCTGCTGGCAGCCAGCATGGCTAGAATAAGTTAGAGAAAGTATTCGTACTTTGGTGTTCAAAAACGTAGGGTTATACATTGAAAGGGCTGTTGGGAAGGCATTACCGAAAGGTATTTTAACATTTAAGTTTCTCTCCTTTATAAATCTGTTATATCCCATGCATGCTCATAATACGTGTTATGTAACATTCCTTTGCTCAACAAACTTTGTATTTTTTTTTCTTCTTTATATCACTGTGCATTAAGTCACTAAGCTGTATTCATGCTAACATTATTGTTTGTGTCTTGCCTAATGTACTTGAAGGAGAAAAAGTGATAGGCAAACATACAAGCTAAAAAATCTCCAGGATGAACAGCATATACGTATATGAGATAACAATACTTACTTGCTTTTGTGGGGAGGCATGCACAATGTGTTTGTGATTTCATCAATACTGATAGCTGGTTTAGTAATAGTGAAACTCGTCACTTGCTAACATTTGCCACTAAGAATGAAACTCTGCAAAATAACTATTTTTTTTTAAATTAATTGCTCCTTACCCATTGGATGGTACATCTGAAAAACTTGCTCAGACAAGATGCTGTGAATAATTACTTGTTAAAATTTTTACCTCCTTGTCCTGGGTAAAATGGTTTGGTTTTGAAATGAAATTAAGCTTGCAAGGTGCTGATCCAGGGTGTTATTTTCTCTTCAGTACAGAAAATCACTTCTTTTATTTCAGGCATATTTAAGATATCAGGTGCCTCATTTCCTATATAACAAGGATCCTGAAAATTAGGCAGTGGGAGAATGCAGTATTTTAATGTGCAGGAACAGTGCAGAACTTCAAATGGGGAAAATTATTTTATCTTCCTGCATGACACCAAACTTCTGTATGTGGAATTATTTGAACGTCTCCAATCTCGAGCATTCACTTGAGGAACAGAGTTAATTATATTTGCACTTTAGCCTCATCACATTTTCTAGAGCCGAACACGTCAATGTGGAATGACTCAATTTTTACCAGCTCATACTAGCAAGTTTATTTTGTGTATATATATATATTTTCAGAAGAATCTGGGTTTTCTTCTAATTTTTCTAAAATAGTTGGCTTAAAATACAAAACAAGTTAAACAATTAATTTTGAAAGTGTCTGGTACGGACTAATCATAAATTGTTAATATTTTATTCCCTTTTATTTAGAAAGGGTACAAGATGTGTATCTTCTTTAAATTACAGGTTGTGATGTGTTCAGTATTTAGATGCTAAAGAGCACAAATTGCATTCTAAAAGAAACATGTATTATATGGAGTTCTGTTTTGAAGCTGATCTCTAACTCCATTGCTTCTTAACTTTGTTTTGTCTGGCAGTGCAAAATATGGTATATTACAGAATTAGTACTCTGTGTCAGCCCACTTTTAATAGCCAACTATTAAACTACAGATGGATTCAGTCACTACAAATAGGGCATAATCTGGATGCCAGCTCTTTGCAATTTGTGTAGGGCTTTTTGTTTTGTGTAAAATTTGCATCTTGGATTGTGCGTCGGTGAGTTTAGTAACATTTATGTAGAGAAAATATTTCATTTTCAAGTCCGAGCCACTTGGTTTTTATGGAAGTCAGTATAACTCAGGTTTAGAAGGTGATTGTGAGTACAGAGCCTAAGGTCACGATAGAACTCAGTAGATTCATAGTTTTGAATGGCATGTTAAAGTCTGTGTATGTGTAATATATAATGTTTAAAGATATACTTACTATAAAGAATTGTCAGGAAAAAGTACGTGAAAGAAAATTGCTCTTCTGGCTGTTGCTTTTTTCCATGAGGAATATTAGGTCCTTAGCTCCCTCTTTGCTGGAAGATTTTGGCAAGTTGTTAAATGAATCTGTACCCAGCTTGCTAATAAGCTTCAACACTTCTCCACTTCTTCTGTCAGGTGTGGATGAAGCTAGGGCACAATCCCAGTTTTGGAAACACTGCAGCTGATCATATAGCTTAACCTGGCATCTGTTCATGGAGCTTCAGCAACTCCTTTTAGAAAATATTTTGCTCAGGTCTACCAGCAAATGGAGGAAGGGGGTGGGTGGGCAGGGCGATGACTAATTCCTGAGTTTTGCATCCATGGAAAATAGCTTCAGTCAAGCCCTCTGTATTTCCCATAGAGAAACATTTTTTAATTTATCATTCACCCTTTCTTAAAAAAAAAAAAAAAATTAAGAAGGTGTGATTTGTGTCACTAAAGGGAAGATAATACATTACGGGAAATGTCTGTGTTAATCTTCTGTTCTAGTCTCCTTAAGAAGTGTCTTTCCTGTCCACAGGAAGGCTTATGCACCTCTATGCTGTTTGTGTAGACTGCTTAGAAGGGGTTCACAAAATTATCTGCATTAAGTGCAAGTCCCGATGGGATGGAAGCTGGCATCAGCTGGGAACTATGTATACCTACGATATTCTGGCAGCATCTCCCTGTTGTCAGGTTAGTACCGTATGTAAATAAGAGTCCTAAGGTAAAATTCCAACTGATGACAAATAAAGGCAAGGTTTGTGTTTCTCTTCTCCCTTCCCCTCTTCCATCCTTCTTTTCCAGCCTGTACCTAGGAGTGCAGTACAAGACAGCTGACTGGGTCCTTGTCACTGTGTCTTAATGTACGAGGCACAAAGGCCGATAGCTAGGCAAAAGCCAGTGCAATGGTCAGTGGTTAATAGTTATGTTTTTAGATAAAGCCCCTTTAAATGCATTCACAATTAAATATGATGCTTTGGATGATCACTAGCAAGTATGTTTGGCATCAGATATAATTCCAGTAGTATTTTAATAACAATTGCACATTTTGAGCAGATGTTTCATGTATTCAAGTTTCTTTTAGTTGCTTCAATTGTGCTCTGTCATAATAGTAGCAAAAAAGCCAAGGGAACGGAGAGGTTCAAAGAGTCTTTGTGCTTGGAGATTACCCAGATCTCCTTAACCTTTGCTGTGACTGATTCTGCTGATGGTACTCCACCACAGCGTGAAGCAGCTTAGTTTTTCATTAAATGCTCACCTCATCTGTACCTTGGGTGAGAAAGAGCCAAGGCCTGGGGTTACTCCAGACTGGAGACGTGCCTGAGGCAGCAGAGTGGTCAGCACACAAGAGAAATTGTCCCTGTGATGGGCAGAGCACTTTTGTTGTGTAGGTGAGGGTAGACTGGCCAGGGAGAAAGCATTTGGGAATGGCTCGGTGGTCCACTCGGGATGCTCAGGAGCGGGCTGTTGCCTTCGACACGCGGGTGGTGTTACTGGGTGAGAACAGGAGCCTCGCAGAGATGCATTCATTCCAAGTACGATCATTTCATGCTATTGTGCGAGCTTAAGAGCAATCTAAAAGACAGTTTTGTCAAAATGCAAAATGCCATTCGATTTTAAATTTAACATATATACCAAAATACATTGCTCAAAAGACTAGTGGAATTGCTGCTGTTGGATGAAGTGACATTGATAACAATTATAACTGAAGACAGAGATGTTACCTCTAAATGTAATGCCTCTTGAGACTGTAACTTTTTTTTTTTGAAATAGAGACTTTTAAAGATGAAACACTGATGCTGACTTGCTAGCTCTGTAAAAGCCAGGAAATTCAAATCTGAATTGCTTCTGTTGAATGTACAAGACAAGAATTAAGGTCTCATTATACAGGAGCCTTAATTATATGATTAATGGACAGTGTGACAGTACATGGTAAGTAATAGAACTGACTATGAAATCATTAGCTGCAGTGACTGTGATTGCCAGATAATACACATTATTGTTTCACCGTGATTGTTACAGATGATTCTGTGCGTACAGAGGCATGACATTTAAATATGGTATATAATTTAACTCCAAATTGCCTTGCTAATTTCTATTTTGAATAATTTCATACCTTATTTCAAAATATTTAAGGAGACATCACAAATGTGCATATAGGATAATGAGCTGCAGCCACTGTCAGGTTACTAGCAGATAGCTGATGTGCTGGACAGTAGCAAAGGGGAAAACAACACTGGTTAAAAAGCTGATACAAATCCGTGCCCTGCTAGATTGTATTTCTTAGAATTTCTGCAGAGCAGATGGCTGTGGAGCTAATGGTTTGTTTGTTTTGGAGTCTTGTCTCAACAGCGATAATACTTTAATAATTTCTTCCTCTCCTCATCTCAGGAAAATTCCTTAAATCAAGATTGCCACAGAAAATAATGTTTTGTTCTCTTCAGTGAAGAGCTGAAGCTTTCATTAGCATATTGGGCTGCGAGGTTCAGCTATGATACAGCTCAGACCCTCGCTGCTCATTTGCCACCTTTACTCTCAAACTCCTTTACGGTCTCAAATCCCTTCTGCTTTTCTTGAGTATTTCAAACAGCCTGCTGAGCTTTCACACCGCCTGTTGGTTTCTTTACATCAGACGGGCTGGGTTTCTCAGCTAGATTTCTTCTGAAGACTTACTTTTTTTTGTTACTGCTGAACATTAATAGCTCTGTCTGTCCTCACCCTTGACCTTTAATTGTTTCTCCTATCCACCCCGTTAATGTCGGTCCTATCTCAGTTGGATTTTGTAGAATAGTTTGTGTGCTTGAAGTGATGTTTAGTTTGTCTAACCTGATATGTATTATAAATGTTTAAGTAGTTACCTAAAGTGATACACTACCATGCCATGCTGATACAGTAGATCAAGTTATACATTTGTTAAACCAAAAGATTAAAATGCTGATATATTTCATAGACAGATGATGTTTAAACCTCAACCTAAGCCGTTCATTTGCATGGCACAAATGTAAAATTTCTCTCTTGGCTTTGGGGCTTCATTTATAATTTATTGAGACAGCACTTCTTCTGCTGGGGATTGAGGAATTGGTTCAGGGATCAATCGACACAAACCAATCGTGTGTCTCTATAAAGTTTGAAATTCTCTACCTCCCTTCAGTCAGAGTGGGAGGTAGCTTATTGTCCAGTATTTGGTGGTGGTATTTCATGTGAAAAGCATTGAGTATGCCTGTGAGTTACCAGTCCGGGTGAGGAGTGTCCTTACCAGCAGATCCCGTTACTGCCAGTTTCCTGACTTACCCCTCTCCGGCTGGGGAGCGCAGGGTGGGGGGCTGCGTGTGATGCTCTTTTTCAGAGACGAGGAACGGAGGCGAGTTTTGTTGTTTCAAAACGGGTTTTTTTGTTTGTTTCTTTGTTTTTTACAGGCTCGGCTGAACTGTAAGCACTGCGGGAAGCCAGTAATAGATGTACGGATTGGCATGCAGTATTTCTCTGAATACAGCAACGTCCAGCAGTGTCCTCACTGTGGAAATCTAGACTACCACTTCGTGAAGCCATTTTCTTCATTTAAAGTTTTGGAGGCTTATTGACGAAAGCTTTGCTTTAGTAATAGCTATTTTATGGGTATTTCAACTTTATTACATATCTTTTTATAGGATTCATTCTGTGATGAAATTAATTTCTTTTCTAACTGAAAGAGCAGCTTCTTTGTCTGTGTACATATTAATATGTATATATACATGTTGTTAAAACCAGAATCCTCCTGACAAGATCTCTGTGAAGGTTGGAGGTAAGCCAATTTAATGGCCTTTGAATATATCCCGAGTGTGGGGTAAAGTTCAGCTAAAAATGATTCGGTTTTATTTTTTTGTATAATTGTAATACAGTTTATAGGAAGGGCGTGGGGAGACGTACAGGACAGAGACATGTGTCCGGTTGGAAAGTGGGTAATTGTGTAGGGTTGTTGTCCCTCCAGCTTGATGGAAATGGGAAATCCTTGGAAAGAAACCGTCCTGTTACTGTTGAATTCATTCAGCCTTTCGCATCAGTTCCCATGGGCACAGGAGCTGCTACCACGGGTGCTGCCAGTCACCTCAGCAGACTTTCTTTCAGATTTCCCAAGATGGTGTACACTAAGGTGTTGTGACAAGTGAATGTAAATGTATGCCAGAAAATGCAATCTTGAAATGAATTTTTTTTTTTTTTGGCATAGCATATTCCCGCTGTGGGTGTTTGATGTACGTTGCCCTCACTGATGGACCATACAGCGATAGTGCTGCTTCCACCGGGGCTGTCATGTGCCCAGTCGGGTCATCTGTTCATACCAAAACAAGCTGGGAACCTTAAAATGCTTTATTTAAAGGTGTTTCTTCACACACCTTTTAGGGAAGGAACAGGCTGAGCTGAATGGTGATGCATTTGTATGTGTCTGCTGGGGCTGAGGCTTTGCTGCCTGCTGCAGACTGGTGTCACTGGTGTGGAAGGAGGACCATGAAGTGGGATCTGGGCTGTTAGACCTGTAAGAGCTGAGGGGTACTGAGTGTGAAACATGGCATCGTTTTCTAAAACAATTAATTGCTGCACCTTTGTCTTTCAAAATCGCATTGAGTCCAGGACCTAAAAACTTGGGAGACTTTTTAAGAAAGCAAACTTAGTGTATTTGCTTTCTACATGCCTCTGCTGTATATAAAAGACAGTGCATTAGGCAGTGAATTTACATCAGAGTGCTTGGCCCTGTAGACTCTGCAGTCGTTTCTTGGTTCCCATTTCGCTGTTTCTTAAGTAAAACTTTTAAAATAGGTCATTAATCTTTTGCTTGGTTTCTCAAGCCAATTGAGATTTAGGGGAGGGTCTTTTTCTTTTCTTTTTTTTTTTTTTCCTTTTCTCCATAGTGTATTTATGGAGTGTTTGTCCACTCGAGAGGTGTGGGTTTTGTTTCTGTTTATGAGGTGGGATTATTTTTTGTTTCTTATGAATTGTCTTTGTTTTCCCAAATTAGAATCTTTTTAAAGAGTGTATCTGTTGAAATTGTGATCTTGAAAATGGCCCTGATACTCTGCCACCCTGGGAAAGAAAACAAAAAAGTCAGAAGCCAAAAAAGCATTTCTTATGCTGGACTGAGAATTATACTTTCTGCTAAGTTAAGAAATTAATGTGCACATAAAACTCAAACTGAATATCGATGTTTCTTTGTGCATAAAAATGCCGAGTTCACAGTTTTATTTCCTGGCTGTCTTCACTGCAGAATTAGCTCCTTTTAACATTAGCCACTCTTCGAGTAATACGCGAGCTGTGTAGAGGGCTTATGTTGGCCCAGATGACTTACTGCTGACTTGAGTGGTAATGTCCGTAGAAGCCAGCCAGCTCACGTTAATGGTTTTTGCATCTGGACTATCTTGTACAGTTACACTGGTGATCTGCTGCTGGTCTGAAGGCTGTGGTAGCCTTCGTCACTGGCACTCCCCTCCTGTCCTCGTTCCTGGGCTTGGTTTTGGGTCTGGAGCGCATCCTTGGGGTTTTGTGCAGTTGTTCCCTGTTTGTGACAGTTTTGGGAAAACCTCTTTCCTTCTTAAAGAAAACTATGGGAAGGAGCTTGGAAGACTTCTAACACTGTCCTGGCGTGGCTACCGCAAACCAAGTTACACCAAGCCCAGCTGCAGTGGGACCAGCACTGTAACCATTGCCCATAGGAGCAGGAGCTGGCCCAGGCATACCAGGGCTGGAAACAGATGTCTAGCAGATAAAACCTGGTTATCTGTGCAGTGTAGACTTCCCTTATGGAGAACAATCAAATTATAATTTGAATTAACTCCTTGGGGAGGATGAGCCCTTCAACTTCGATGGTACATAGAGCAGCCTGATGGAGTTAAGGTGGCTAACACGGTTTGGAGTTGTGTTGCCTGGCAGAACCAGACCAGACAGACAACGACTAGATTGTTCCAGCGGCCTGAAATCACGCATCAAAGACAAAGGTCCTGTAATGAGAAAAATTAAGGCATACATCTGTAGCTGTAGTGTTTGGCCTTGAGTGATAGTCACTCATGCCATGAGTCTAGGGTGTTGATTCGCACATCGGCTACATGGTGTTGTGTACCCACTTTTTCATGCACTTGGTCAGGGGAGGTGTCACTGTACAATGCACATGGTAGGCGAGAAGTGGGATCTGGAGCCCTTCTAAATACTTGTTCATTTGCTTTCCTTAGATTAGCTTAATTTATAATTCTGTTCATTAAGTACGGAGATGCCTCTTCAGATATGTAGGTGTGACAATCGAGAATGAGTAGACATGGAAAAAGGGAATTTGGCCAGCTTTAAAAACACAAGTGTATGAAAGGCTATACAAGTATATTCAAGTCAAAGCCAAGAATACAGGAGACGACTGAGAAAATGGGAAGTGGAAAGCATATTTAAAGTCTTAACAGTAACAATGAGTTATGTACAAATCTATCCAAGAAAACAATTTAGTTCTCCATTAGCTTTTCCTTTTAATTCTGCTGTTGAGTCTTATCTACTGCTTGAGGAAATGCCTATTATCTTGCAAAGCACATCTAGCACTCTAAAAATGGTCCTCGATGTAAACCAGCTGAGCTACAGAAAGATTCCTCTGAACTTTCACTCTGAAGTAAATTGTCCCTAATTTGTAGACAATGCTTTCCCTGCTTCTTGCTGGTACTGAAAACTGGGCTTGCGTTACTGCAAAATGTGGTATTTTTTTGTAACATGCATCAGATTCCAGTCAAGCAGTCAGGCCTACTCTTTGGCCATGAGAGTTTCAGCTGCGCTTTGCATAAGTAGGAAGGCAGAGGTAACTTCTTTGGGACCTAATGGCTACCTAAGAGGTTAAACTAGACTACAGTTGTTTTGCTATCTGTCTTGACGAGCACTGGAAGTAGTCATGAGCTTTTACATGTGTCAAAAGGGAAATAATTTCCTTAGCTAGGGAGCTGCTGGCTTTGCTTGTTTGGCTAAAGTTTACTCTTCATCACCTTTCATTTTTCTGATGCTGTGTGTTCTTTTTAATCTGGCCTATGGTCAGATTAAATTGTGTCTGAAATATGTTTTGTAAAGGAGAATACAGTCCTCTGGATTTGGAGGTTCATTCTACTCTTCTTAAGTGCACGATACTCCTTGCGATAGTAATAGGAGTTGCATGTGCAAATGCTTTTCTTTCCAGTAGTTAACTCTGTTTTCCATAGGAGAGGCTTGCATTTAGATGATAGACTTCATATTTTGGATGTGTAAAAATTAATTCAGCCATCAGTAGGATGTTTAAAGGTAAATTTTGATAACTGTAACTAACACAGTGGACATCTTTTACATGCTGAAATTTAATTTGACATCTACCAAGGTGAACAGCCTGAAATTCTTGTTCTGTCTAATGCTGCGGAGTCATTAAAACTACAGTGTTCTATAGCGAGCCCATAGACTATCCTATAGTCTATTTGCATTAACATCTCCAGTGTATTCATAATGAATTTAGTTGGGAAAATAGGGATTATTCCTACAAGGGAGGCATCTAACCCAATTTCTTTCTTTTTTTCTTCCCCCCCCCCCCCTCACCTTTCTTTCTTTTTTTCCTCCCCCCCCCCCCCATGTACTCTTCATTTTGCTGTACCAGGTAACCGAGGACAAACATGTTGTAAGGCCACTGGTGAGAAAACCCGTCAAAAATATACTTGTCCATAAAGGTTTCTTGTTGAGACATTCTTGGATTGCACTTTTGCAGATGGAAGAATATGTACATAGCAAATGAATGTTGATGAAACTAAAATAATTGGTTATGATATCATTTGCGTGTGTTGTTAGAGAATATTTTGTTGTGACTTCTCTGTATTAAAAAGTAATAAATACCAGACAGCTAACAGTGTGTGTTCTTCTTTCCCTCTTCTTCTCTTGACTGGTTTCTTTCACCTGTTCTTTTTAGAGAGACTTACTGTAGTCACCTTAAATATTAAAGGGCACAGTGAAAACAAGTTTTCAGTATCAGTTAAAACAAAGCTTTGAAGACTGCTATAATAAAAGTGGAGACTAATGACCAGTGGTGTCCCTCAGGGGTTGGTACTGGGACTGGCACTGTTTAATGTCTTTGTCGGCGACATGGACAGTGGGATCGAGTGCACCCTCAGCAAGTTTGCTGACGACACCAAGCTGTGTGGTGTGGTTGACACACTGGAGGGAAGGGATGCCATCCAGAGGGACCTTGACAGGCTGGAGAGGTGGGCCTGTGCGAACCACATGAACTTCAGCAAGGCCAAATGCAGGGTCCTGCACATAGGTCAGGACGATCCCAAGCACAACTACAGGCTGGGCAGACACTGAGTTGAGAGCAGCCCTGAGGAGAAGGACTTGGTGGTGTTGATTGATGAGAAGCTCAACGTGAACTGGCAATGTGCACTTGCAGCCCAGAAAGCCAACCGTGTCCTGGGCCGCATCAAAAGTAGTGTGACCAGCAGGTCGAGGGAGGTGATTCTGCCCCTCCGCATGAGACCCCCACCTGGAGTACTGTGTCCAGCTCTGGGGTCTCCAACATAAGACATGGAGCTGTTGGAGCGAGGCCAGAGGAGGGACACGAAGATGATCAGAGGGCTGG